AAAAATTATAAAAAATGTAAATCATCATTATTTCTAACTTGGATTTTTTTGGCCAATTCGTCCTTTTTGCAAAATATTCTCCCATTGTTGGTCCAAGTGTCTCTGTAGCCAAGTTCTTTTGCCTTTGATCGGGTTACCCAGAATAACTTCCTATTGTATGCCGTCAAGCTTTCATTGATGAAATTCCGCGAGCCGTTGTATTCAATTTTTCCACGTTTCTTTAAAAATTCATCACGTTTCCTTTTAGATGAGAATTCAGCTACTATCTGAGGCGTTTCTGAGTTTTGTCGTGAAGGTTTCCTGTATACGTTTTCAATGTCAAAAAAATTAAGATCAATATCAATTTTGGAAGCTATATCATTTACTAGTGTTTCGACATTTTCATTATTTTCTTTTTTAACACCACTTATTTCAATAAAACAAGCTCTCTCGTTTTGTTCCAAAACATTTATTTTAAATTCTAAAGTTTGAATAATACTTTCTTTTTCTTTTAGTGTTTTTTCTAGCTCTAGAATTCTATTGCTAAGAGTTGTAAGAATATTATTTGTAGTCATTTGGTTTTTTAACACATCGTCTATTTTGCTGGCGATTATATTAATATCAGAATCCATTGTTATCTTATTAATGTGTATACCTTGGTTTTCTGGAATCGGTTTAACCGGAGTGCAGTCATCTCTTTTTTGTTTCAATTGTTTGGTACAGTCCTCGCAATCAAAGTCAATGCCTTTAGATTTCATGTAATCAATGCTTTCTGAATTCATATTTGCACATTTAATATGAAGTACGTTTTTACATGTCGAACATTGAGTACTGGACTCATTTCGCGAAACCGCAACCTTGCATTTCGGACACAATGTCATTATTAAGACTGATGAAATATAACACTTAAACACACACGACCGACTACGTCGGCTTATCGAATTGAACTGAACTTGATTGTTAAAGTTGTTTTTTGTTCTATAAAAATTATATAATAACAAATAAGAGTTGAAATTGTTTGTTATTTGTATTTAAATTACCTGGGACAAGTAACTCCAAGCCTTGTGACAACCAACCTTTAAAAGGGACTGGTTGTCACAATTTTTTTTTTTTAAAAAAAATTAAAAATGCGTTTAACTTGAATACTAGTGTTTGCTATTTTTATAAGGAATGCTTACGATAAAATATTTTATTGTGAACTTACCAAGGTTAAAAAAAACAAAAAAATTTTTTTTTTTTTAAATCGAAATGTAAAAATTGTGACCATACCCGGTATACCCTATCTCAATTAATGGACAAAACTAAAACATATGAAAATAACGGCATACTTACTAAAGCCCAATCATGCTACAAACCTTACATTTATATGATGGATTTACTATACACAGTTTTTTTTTTTTTTTTTTTTTTTTTTTTTTTATTAATAATATAAAGATTTCCTGACAGTCAACATCATCTAAACTTAGGTGTAAAGAATTAATTTTTTTTTAACATTTATAAATTAGACCACAATCTATATATATATATAAATCGATGTACATTTTAAATAAATTTTATAACTCAAGATCCACCGAATCGATTTCGATAAAAATTTTAGGGCATATTATGATTGATATGTACATGGTTTCTGTGAAGTTTGTACGCTGTGCGATATGTGGTTCCGGAGTTATGGCCTCTTAAGTGTACAATATTAATCACGCACGCACGCACGATATTCAAAAATTATTGTTTTGCCATGGAGATATATATATATATATACACTCTATGTGGTTATTTTATATTATTTGTTTCCGTGGCACGCGCGTCTATGGTAATATTTATTGGTTTGAGATTAAATGAGATTGATTTTTATTCAATTTGAATTGTATGGATTTAGGCGTTAAAAAATGCCACGACCCAGACGACAAAATATTGGCCGACGATCACGTAATTATATCGCCCAACAGTCTCATAGGAGATCTCAAAGTGAAGAGGCACATTTACAACGAAATATTGTTCAACATTTACGAAATGAACATCGAACTACATCTGCAGGTCCGTCAGTAAATGCAGCATCAAGACGAACGTCACGAATTTCGCGTCGTGCACAAGCCATGGAATTTGCTGCATTTCATTGCAGCAGTGAAATGGATTACAGTGAACATGGTCTTATTGATGGAATGACGGTGAGATACATTGTGTATACATTGTGCTGCAGCCAAATTTCCAGGTGAAACGGCTGGCATGTGTTGTACTAATGGCAAAGTGAAATTTCCAGCATTCTAATCTCCACCTGATCCACTGCACTCATTGATTTTTGGAACATCACCAATGTCCAAGCATTTTTTGTCCCACATTCAAGAATATAATACGCCATTTCAAATGACTTATTTTGGTGCGACAAAAGTTATAAGAGACAGTTTTATGCCGACGTTCAAGGTAATTATTTCATACGGAATATCTTTCAAAAAATGCAACCTGACCAGCAATTAATTTAATATTTTCACGAATTCTGATCCAATATCAAATTGTATTTCTCATATGTTACAGATTCAAGGCCAGATTTATCATAGAGCTGGTTCATTATTGCCATTCCCTGACACTGAACCTCAATTTTTGCAAATCTATTTTGTTGGGAATAGCAATGATGAATTGAATCGGCGTTGTGCAATTGCTTCAAGTGCAAGGCGTCAAATTATTTTGGACCTGCAAATTTTTTTCCATCAACACAATGAATTAGTTCAATTGTTCAAAACCGCTCTTGATCTTATGCCATCCGATAATCAAAGGGTAATAATAAGAGCCGACAAAACGCCTTTTGGAGAGCATGCAAGACGCTTCAATGCACCAACCATTGATGAAGTGGCCATTGTAATTGTTAGAGAGCAGTTTCTATCTCGCGATATTGTGCTACACCGAAGAAATGAGCAATCGCAGCGTGTATCAGAGCTTCATCGCAGCTATGATGCATTACAGTATCCATTATTGCACTGGAAAGGTGACGACAGCTATCATATCAATATACCAATGATAGATCCACGAACCGGTAAATTGAGTGCACCGCAAGGACCGTGAATCATATTTTTCTTGAAAACTTCAAATGATTCAGGATCAGCAATTTCAGCTGATATAATGCTATCAATTTGATCCGGTGTTATTTTACGTACCAGCCATATCAATATATGTGCATGCGGAAGCCCTCTCTTTTGCCATTCGATCGAGTACATCCAGCAACGCACCTCTCCAAATACTCGCAATTTGATAATCAAATCAATCAGCGCTTTCAATTTCTGTCGAAATACACGTGCTGTTATATCGTGTCGGTATGTTGGTGTCTGACCTTCTAACAAATTGGTTTTTAAGTCATCCCACTGTGGATTGCATGTGAATGTTATGAAGAGGTCAGGGCGGCCGTATTTGCGAACGTACGACATTGCATCTTGTGTATATTGATGCATGTGACGCGGACTGCCAATATAAGTCGCTGGTAATATTGTTAAACGTCCAAATTATTGACATCGCCATCATTCACCATTGCATCTTGTAAGTGTATGTACTCTTCCGATCGCAATGCCGCTTGACTGAATCTAAGGTAATTGAGACGTTCTGATTCAATCTTCGCATACATGTCCACAGCATATTGATGGAATAGTTTGCCACATTTCAAAATGAAGTTGTCTTCTTGTGGATGAACCATGAATCTGTATGAGTAATAGTTGTTCATCGCACTGTCTTGCCTGGTATGTCACGACTTGTAATAAATACAATGATAGAAAATTTAAATGTCTGATTGTTTTAAATTAAATACATTTTCAATTCATATGAATATGTTACCGGTTCGTGGATCTATCATTGGTATATTGATATGATAGCCGTCGTCACCTTTCCAGTGCAATAATGGATACTGTAATGCATCATAGCTGCGATGAAGTTCTGATACACGCTGCGATTGCTCATTTCTTTGGTGTAGCACAATATCGCGAGATAGAAACTGCTCTTCAACAAGTATTTTAATTTGTAAAGTAGACCGTCAGACCTTATTAAATGCATTAGCTATATCTAGGAATGCTGCTCCAGTGTGTTCTTTTTTTTCGAACCCATTACTTATGTGTTCAGTAATACGAAGAAGTTGTTGTGTCGTAGAGTGTTTTGGTTTAAAGCCGAATTGACAGTGAGGTGTTGCTTCTATTGCATTTAAATGATTTATAAGCCTGGAGTGGATAATTTTTTCGAATATTTTGGACATCGATGATAATAAGCTTATAGGCCTGTAGTTCTTAGGGTCAGTGTTGTCTTTACCAGGTTTTTTAATCATTATTATTTTGGCTTTTTTCCAAGCCGTTGGGAAATTAAAACTCAATTTTAGCAAGGTGTTGCGGAACGTACATTGATACATAAATGATTGATACATCCATACATAAATGTAGGTCCTTACGATTATCAATACATGGGGGTCCACATAAATAACATTGTGGCTTACATTATAATATACATTATTAAATACACAAATACAAACAAATACAAATTACACAATATGTGAAAACACCATGATACCTACGTGGTGGACATGCATAATATATGCCCTTGTGAATATCCAAATCTTACAGAGGAGTTACATACAAATAATTGGCATTGTAACAAAAACCGAAACATCAGGACGTGCCTTTATAAGGTAATAAAATTGGCATCAATCAATGTTTGCAATAACCGAAACAATATGTCCTTATAAGGTATTATAAAATTAGCTACAGTACGCGTCACGAAAACGTGCGGATGACCGCCGCGCGCCCAGTGGACATTTCTCGTTGGTGGTGGCCAAACTGTTTCGCGCCAAATATAAAATTTAAAACTCGTATTTTTATATTAATAAATTATGTGTATGTATTTAATGATATTAAAAAAAAATACAATTCATTGTACACAATAAAAACGTGAATTAATTAAAAACAATAGAAATAGTTATAACAACAATAATAATAATAATAATACTATAAATGTATAAAAAATGTACAATATATTTTACAATAAAAAAAAATATATCGTCAAAGGTAGTCTTCGTCTTCACTGCTGCTACAATCGCTGTCGTTGGGGTCGATTGTTAAAATGATGGGTTCCAATATGCAATCTCTGAATCCTTCTTTTTTAAAATCTTTATTTTGTAGTTGTTCTGCGTGTCTTACACATTTTTCCCAATTTTCTGTGGTAACTGCATCTATGGCTTCGTGCATAAGTTTTTCGACGTCGGCTATTTTAAATGTTGTATTTTTGGTTGCAACTTCACCTTTTACCTGCGCCCAAATTAGTTCAATCGGGTTGTATTGGCAGCTATAAGGCGGAAGTCTGATCACTTCATGCCCCATTTGATATGCCAACTCGTCCAACTGATATCGTTTTTCACGCGGTTTTGCCATTTTTACTTTTTCTCTTAGTTCCACCAAGGTTTCTGTAGGAGAAAAATCGATGCCTTTTTCGGATAGCCACTTTTGAACATCGGATTTTTTTGTATTTGATTTCGGCACATTCTCCACTAGTACGCTGTGATATGGTGCATTATCCATAACAATGACACATGGCTCGTCCAATAGTTGCAGCATATTTTGAAATCAGTCATGAAATATTTGACTATTCATCTGTGAGTGGTAGTCACCGTCATTTTTACTCTGGAAAATTAATTTTGAACCACATATGAATCCAAATTTAGCTGCTCCAGCATGGCATACAATCAGACGACCGTCTTTACCGGTTGGCACTTTAAATCCTTCGCTATCCATATCGTTTTGCCAAATATGGTTTCTTGAATGGTTCTGGTTCACCCAAGTCTCATCTAAATAAATGACAGGTCTCGTGTCACCACTGGAACGTAAATTACACATTTTTCTCAAAAATGTGTTTCGGAGTGCCACGATATCGTTCCGTTCCATTAAAAATGTACGTCCATTGCAACACTTTTTGTATTTGAAGTTCAAGGAGCGCAAAATCCTCTGTACTGATGACTTTGATCCTTCAAAGTTAATTTTTTTCCTCATGGATTCACAAATTTTTTAAGATGTTGAATATTCACCTATAATAATGTTTTTATATATAATAGTTTCTATTTATATGTAAAAGTGACAAACATTTGAAGATTTTATTTTCAGTTAAAAATGAGTTATAAATTTAATATGAGGTAGGTCGTAGGTAGGATATTATAAATGTTTTTTTATAATAAAAAAAATATTTTAAATTAATCCAATTACCTTTGTCATAAATTTCATGAACAGTTCTTTTGACCACGTCAACGTTGAAATCGTCAATATCTGTCATGACCTTCTTCCGTTTATACGATTTCCTCGGTGACACGAATAGGCTTCTTGGTGTTGGTGTATCATCGTTTTCATATTTTTTTACTTCAGCAACAATATTTTGTATACTTCGTTCACTTATTCCACACGCTTCGGCAGTAATTTTTTGAGTTTTTTTAAAAAACTCAGCAGATAAATGTTCCATAGTGGATAATTTTTTTAAAAAAACGTATACCCGGTAAATCACTTTTTTACTTTGACTGTGAATATCGTGGTGTGTAAAAGTCACAATTTCAAAAAACACGTGATCAAAAATTTTAGGTATGCACAGCTAAATTCACAATAGATTACAGTACCGAACGCGCCAAGAGTCAACAAAAGACAGAGACATTTTAAAAGGTGCAGGTTAGTTGTTTTTTTCAAAACGTATAGTACCCGTCACGCTAGTGGCGCGCACCTGTGATGGATCAAATATTGAGGCCCACTGGTTTACAGAAAAACCGACACACGGCGCGCTGCGGTCATCCGCACGTTTTCGTGATACGTACTGTAATAGATACTTTTCGAAGGGGGTCTAGAATATTAATATTAATATCAAACTATGTCCAGGTCAAATATCCCATAAGAACGGAGTATATAAGGTAGTCTCGAACAGACTATTAGGGAGATGTGGTTTACATGTATAGTCGCAAGCACCTTCACGCCAGATCATTTCTTAATTAATGTTTTCTACTTAGAAAAATTCTTAAATAAACAGTTAAATTATATTTGAGTATTTTTATTTGAAGTATTATCCTAAAAAACTTAACCATCAATACGATTGGACGACGGCATGCAACAAAGACATTGAATAGAACTATCATAAATACAACTGCTTTATTTGGTAATTTCTTTAATATGGTATTGGTGATCAGGTCATGTTCGGGTGATTTACGATTTGGTAGTTTTTTAATTATTTCTGATAATTCTGATGGATTTGTGTATGGAAAAATATTTTGAGGAAGAATTTCTGCTTCGCTTAATTTTTGAGATACCAGGAAGTTTGTTGCATCATCATTTTGGGAGTTATGTGTGAAAGTGTTTGCTAATGTTGTAGCAAACAGATTGCATTTTTCGTTAATAGTATTGATAAATTTATCATCGTACTTTAGAGGAGGAATTTTTTTGTTATTGGGGTTAATTTATCTTTTGATTGCTAACCAGAGATTGGAGTCTGCAGGATGAATTGAGGATTAGTATTTTTTGTACGATTCTATTCTAAGTTCTGCAAGTAGTGTTTTGACTTTTCTGGTAAGAAAATTTTGATTTTTACGGTCTTCAGGTCTTCTGTGGAGTTGCCATTGTTTTCTAGTTTGATGTTTGTTCTTTATTAATTTTTGAATTGATGGAGTTATTTTGGACTTATAGTTTGTAACGGTACACCATTGATACCCCGCACATATTGCGCAGTAGGTAGCGGTTGATGGTGTTACTACTACTAATCGTAGTACACAAAGAGTCAGGCGACAGAAAACATCCGACAGATGGCGCTATCACAGCATCTAGATTGTACACAGCGGCCACCCGACTCGATTGTCGAATTTTTCCTTATTTTTATATTTATTTAACCCATTCGGGTCACGAATTATTTCAAATCGACCCTTCCAGAAGTTATACCGACCACCCACGGAGGAGAATACCGATACAAAATCATGTTTTTCATATGTAAATCTACATTCGGGGTGTGGCCCTAGAGGCCTTGATATACACCTCGAAATCGCCGTACAAATCAGCCTTCCCTGCTCTGAAAGCAGTCGTTGCAGTCACAATCCAGAATCGGTGTCAAACCAGTGGCAAAACCTTTCGACCATAAGTCGTCTGCGTCTCACGCCCAGTGCCACCATTCAACATGACACTCACGGTACACCTAACCAGTGTAAAGACCAGGGTGTCGTATCTTTTGTGACAGTAGCTGCTGCCGTACCTTCCCCCCGCCGTCCGTATCGTCATCGCCGTCAACGCCGCCATAGTTCGTCGCCGGTGTTGTTCGTATCACTCCGGCCGTTAGTATTTTCGCCGCTGCGCTCATCCGTTGATAGCCACGGTACACTTAACCGTGTATAGACCAGGCTATCACGGATCAACGTCGATACCGTCATTCGTAACGCTTCCTCCGCTGCATTACATTCGTCGATAACCACGGTACACGTAATAGTGTATAGTCCGGGTTATCACTGAGTTCTGCTCGGACCTTTCCGTATACGTTTGTGATTTGGTCACCTTCGGGTGTTATCCTGTCGTCATTTTCAACGTGGTTCACCTACACTGCGTTCAATATAGCCATCAGAGTCGCATACACGTAAATATACCCCTAAATCTATGTCTATCTGTGTGATAACATCAAACGTGTATTTTGTTTTGTTCATTAAAATAATATGTAATAGTTATATTACATGTATTAATTTTGTAATGTTGTTCGTGTAAAATATATTACACTACTTTATATATGTTAATTTGTATTATGTTCAAAGTTTAAATAGTAATAAACAAGTTGTCATAATATTAAATATTTGTATTATTTTGTTAACGCATACACACGTCCACCCCGAACGTTTGTGTTCGTTACAAGTTACTGTTAAACGTGCAACTAGAGACTGTTGTACACTGTTCAGCGGCTTCAGAGATTGTTTTCCGAAAATGAGATATTGCTTTATCGGCTGTTAAAGTATTGGAAATAGTTCTGGGTATTATAATATTGTCTGATATAAATTGTTTAAATTTATCCCAGTCTGGTTTTCCGTTTAAAAGTTTGCGTGTAGATTTTGTGAGTGTTAGAGATACGGCAATTGATATTTTCACTGGCAAATGATCCGAATCTAATTCGAATAGGAGTTCTTGATTAATTATTACGAAAGTTGATTTAAGCAGAACAACGTCTAAAATATCTGGACTTTTATTAGTATCGTAGGGGTAGCAGGTAGGTTTGTCAGGCGCGGAGATAATCGTAGATGAATTTGATATATACTTGTATAATTTCCTACCATTCGGATTTGTTGTGTTACAATTCCAGATTACGTGTTTTGAGTTTAGGTCTCCTATAATTATAACCTTATTATAAACGGTTAAAATTTTATCGAAGTCGTTTGTGTACATGATAAAAGATGGAGATTGATATGCGCTTACTATAGTTGTGTATATATTATTAATTGATAATGTTATTGCTACGGCTTCCAGTGATCGCAGTGGAGGTATGTAAGCCTGTTGATGTTTTATTTTAGTGCGAATTAACAACGCGACGCCGCCTGAAGGCCGAGCAGCTAAACCAGCGGTTCTCAACCGGGGGTCCGCGAGTAGGTATTAGAGGGTCCCCGGAAAAAATAGCGTAATGGCGGAAAAATTGAAATTTGTTGTAATTAATTGAAATTACTTGTGAAACTAGTAGTGAAGTATTGTAAATGTTGTAAATAGGTTTTTCGTAACTTATACGATTTAGTATAAGTGTATAATAAGAGTATAATACTGGAAAACGTGTATTGAGAATAACCAACCAGAAATTTTAGAAGCACTGCATGATTTTCTCAGTGAAACTGATATGAACTTATCACAAGGCATCAAACACCAAATTGTTCAACATTTGAATGAGCTTAAAACAGCTTTTGCAAAATACTTCCCTAAATGTGGAAAAGAAGACCACTGGATTATGTTCCCTTTCAGTGAAATTTATTTCAAATCTGCAATTTTATCAGCCCGTGAAAAAGAAAAATTGATTGAACTGAAAACGGACTCTTCACTCCAAGCAGCATTTCTTGAAAAAAAATCACTGATCACCTTTTGGGCTAATGTGAAAGACGAATATCCTGAGCTTTCTTACAAAGCATTCAATGTTTTGCTACCGTTTACGAGCTCTGTATTAGTGGAAAGAGCCTTTTCGTCATACACATTTATTAAAAATAAGTACCGCAATAGACTCTCGGTGAGTTCAGACTTACGAGTTTATTTATCACCCGTGGAGCCAGATTTCAAAAAGTTAAGTGCAAGCAAACAAGCTCAAGGATCACATTAAAATTACATTTTTAACTAAATATTATTTTTTATTATTTATTTTTATACATACAATGTATTGCGCATGTTGATCAAAATAAATCAAATTTTTCATAATTAAACTTTTTTCGTAAATTCATATCTATCTTATGTAAAAATATATGACAAATTGGCATTTGGGGTCCGTAAAGTAGTAGTGAGTGGTCAAGGGGTGCGTGAACGAAAAAAGGTTGAGAACCGCTGAGCTAAACGATCGTTACGATATATAGAATACCATTAAATTTAATTGTCTCCGGTGTAGATAAGTGTGTCTCACTTATGCAGGCAATATTGACATTGTGATGAGATAAGAAAGCAGCAAATGTGTTGCGATTACGTTTTAAACCATTTGAATTCCAGTTAATGATGCTGATGTTAGTATTATTTATATTAATTGACATTTAATAAGGTAGGAAGATTTGTGATTACTTTTTTGATAATTTCTGTGATGAGAGATGTGAATAAATTAGAGATTTAATGAGATCGTTGGTAATATTTGTGTTATTCGTTTGATCGTCTGTTGTAGTTTCGTTTTTACATATGTTTTTCTTTATTTTTCCGGCGTAAGAATCGTTTTGTAGATTATTTATTTGTGGATTAGCCTGGGGATGAAATGAATTATGTTCTTGAAGTTTAGGAATAACTTGTAGGTGTTTTGGCGGATTTCCGTGAGATTTGACTTTGTTGTGGTTTTTAATTTATTTATAGTTTTGCAGCTTTTATAGTTCGCTGGATGATTTTCGTTACAATTTACGTATATAGGTGGGCTGTATTTATCTTTAGTACATACCGAGAAATGGTGTAGTTTTGGGCATTTAACGCATCTAGGAGGTAGTTTACAGAAGTTTTTTGTATGATTAAAACGTTGGCAATTTTGACATTGGGGAATAGAATTATTGTTTTTACGATTTTCCACCGTTATTACACAGTAAAAAAGACGATAGAGAGACAAAATATTTTTTGCCGATTTTTCGAGAATAACGGCGACAATCGGGATTGGTGATTTGTTGCGATTTTGTAAGCGTGTTACAGAAGTGACTTCGTAATTTAATTCTAACAGTTCTTCATAGATTTCTGCTTCTGTAATCGAAATTGGTAAATTTCTAATTATTACGGAGAGGTTTCTATCTTCCGGAAGCTGATACGTATGATATTTAATTTGGTTTTCGGAAAGATATTTTGTAATAGTACGATAATCAACGACGGTTGATAAGTTCAGTTTTAAAAAAATATTTTTATTATTAATTTTGAAATTCTCAATCATTAATGGTGAGATTTTTTTTAGGAAAACATTATAGTCGTTAATATCGTAAATATATATTGGAGAAATTTTTGCTTTACCTCTACGATGTCCATATCGATTGATTCTGTATTGACGTCATTTGAATCATCATTAAGATTGGAGAGTGGGGTAAATATGTTTTTGTTACCAATCCGTGGAGAGAATGCGGTACTGCTCGTACGTTTACCAGTATTTTGGGAAGTACTGGATTTCTGCATGTTTGAACCATGCATAAACTTTGGATTGTCGCACGACGGTAAGATAAACGAGCGATTTATATAAACACAACCTATTACGATAACCGTCGCGCGAAGACTGACTGTACACAATTAAGATATTTAAAGAATGCAAATGGACAAATTCTGATTTACACAATAAAGCAGTTCAACATGTGGCAAAATTGCGAATTTTACAACACAATTGAATTTTCATAAATTATAATTTATAAGTTATGTGATTTAAAGTATGTACCTACTAAGTTTTATATTGTAATTTATTATAATTTGTATATAAGAAAAATAGTGATAATATATGCATTGATAAGATTCATAGTGTTCAATTTCGATTTGGCAAGTATTGTGCAATAATTTATACCTAACTACTTCCTATTATTTCAAATTTTAATTTATTAACAAGTTAAATTATACGAATTTATATAATTTCGTACATTCCATACATTTTTGTGTTTTAACTATGCGAAAATATTTTTTTCTTGTTTTTAATAAAAAATAATAAAAATATACATTAAAATATGAATGGGTCAAAATCATATTATAATATAATTAATTAGTCCGTAATCCGTACTTTTCCCAGCGCCACACTCAACCAAATCATTCCAAATAAAAATAGTAAATATAAAATAGGTACGTTGCAACTCGTGACGGACGTCATAAAAACTAAAAGATAAAAACCAGACGATAAAAACTAGTTATATTCGCACCGCGCTCCACCATAGCTACGACAGCTGTTATAAGATACACATTTATTAGTATTGTTGGTTCTTATCGCCATCTACCGAGGGTTTTATTGTACGCCACCGAAAAACCGCTCAGTAAGCAATCTATAGTATTTATAATCAATGATTATAATAACTTCTCTTGATAGAGTCGTAGGCTTGTTTGAAGTCTATAAATAGTAAGTATATATCTTGGTCGAATTCATCGATTTTTTCCATGATTTCTTTGATTGTGTGTATTTGGTATACAGTTGATTTACCTTGTGTGAACCCCGCTTGGTATTCTCCTATTATCTCTTTCAGGTGCGGATCTAGGGAAGAGGTCATGGGGGTCATGACCACCCCTAGAAAAACATCAAGATTAGGTTCTTCATGTTAATTTAAAAATTAAAATATGCATAAATTGCATTTTTAATTTTTTTTTCAATTAGATTTTTTCTTGCAATAAAAATGTTATACAACGTATTATATTTATGTACATTTAAACTACATCATCAATTTTTCATAAAATCATAACTTCACCATCCAACTTCTAAGAATATTAATAGTGATTATAAACTTACTGATAGACTATAATATTGTTGATGAATAAATATAAATATAATAGTAACTCTGCCAAAATTTTTGAGTGTTCGACCTTCGACAGGAAGATAACTTGTCTTAGATAATATTACTGTCAATCCGTTGGCTGGTACCCAATTGGTTCCCGAGCTCCAACCCAGCGTGCCGAAATGGTTCTCGTCTGAAAAAGGTATTTTATTACGTATAGCCAAATTGGTTCCCGTTTGAAAAAGGTATTGTAATAGGTATAGCCGAATTGGTTTTAGTTTAATTACGCACATTTTCCTTCCCAATTTTATTGGCTTAGGACTGTCAACTTTAAAATAGGCTTGGTTAATGTGCGTTAATGTATGTTAAAAAAAAATGATAAAATATATGCAATTTTAAATCGTTGATTTGGAAGTCAACTATTCATCACTTAGGTGTACGAAATACAAATAATAAAATAGAATAAATACATTTTAAAACCACCGATTTGAAAATTTGAAGCTAAATTTCTTTAAATATTCAATTCTCGTAATCTTCTCATAAATGAACTTAATCATAAAATTCTCTAAGTATTTGTTATTTCGTTCCTGTTTGCTAGTAATTTGCTAGTCTCTAGTAATCTATATTATATCTATTATATTTCTATACTCTATCTTATCGATATAATAATTATGTCTATATATCATACATATAGCTTTTAAAATTTTGTTTTTTGCTCTCTATGCACTGACCCACCTAACCTGTACACAAACGAGAACCAATTCAGCTATACCATTAAATTTCCTTTTTCCTTCAAATTGACTATGCATAATGATGTAACATAACAGTATACATTTTTTAAATTGATTCATTAAATTTTTGTTTTGTCATTTTTTCCTAGTAAATTGGGAGTATCAAATCCTAGTGTGTACTGAAACGTTTGTGGTGATAAAACACTTTTGTAAAGTAACAAGATGTTTCTGTACTTACTTTCTCATCCAGTACTTGTTATGGTGGTCCGTTGTTCAAGGGTAAAAATACCTTAGAATTATAAAGTATAGGTAAATCCTATGGTACTTGTTAATTTGTCCAGTACTCGTTATCGTGGTCACCAAAAGGAGAATTAAATAAGTTTTAACTGAAATATATCGATATTTACTCTTTGACGGTTCTGAAACTCAATAATCGAAACATATCTGTTATACATGTCAAGCCTTTGTGTGGCGTATACGACAGGTCATACTGTAAAATACTATAAGTAGTACTAGTAGTAGTACATATTTTTATCCGAACCCGAATCGAACCGAACTTCCAAATATTTTATCGAACTCGAACCGAACATGAAAAATGTCAGAAAGCTAAAAAACTTAACCTTTTATAATATTTTCATTATTTTGGCATTATTGAATTACAGGAATATTAAATAAAATATTAAATAAGTATTAAATAATAATGAAATAGTATTAAATAATACCTAGACAGAATTATTGACTATAGATTAGCTTACAAAATAAAATTATGCTTATGCATAAAACAAATATTGAATAATAATAAATAAGTAATATAATTTTATACTGAACATTTATAATTTATAAAATATTATAATAATTTTGATTTAGGTACTTAAATAACTTTAATACTTAATTCTTGAAATAACAAAGAAATTTAAAATTTTTAAAATATATATATATATATATATCAAATTTTAAATTATATAATATTGTCATGTAAGAACACCAGTTGTTCAACTGATTGTGGTGATAGTCTTTACCTCCTAGCTGTCACCACTTGTTCAGCTTTCGAAAATATCCGTTCACTGCAAATTGATGTTCCTGGAATACCCAGATACTTCAATGCTACAGGAACCAAACACGGAAAGTTTAAACAATTAGTTTTCCACCATAAAAATGGTTTTGATGTTGGTGACAGAAGAGGTTGTTGCAAATATTCCTGTATCTAAAAAATAAATATATATTTTAAACATAGGTACATAAAATTATTTAAATACTGTTAGATAGTAAATTAATAAACAAGAAATATTTGAATATGTGATCTTACTTCTTTTTTAAATGAGTTTATCAGTTGTTCTTTATTAGTAGAACTGGAGATCGAACGTTCTTGAAGAATATCCGAAAGTGAGTTTGTTGAAACAGGGACTGTGGTAGGTAGTAATAGATTTTGTTCAGTTTCTGATATTTCTAAAGTAGCACATGCTGATCCAAATTTCTCAACTTCTATAGTAAGCAAACTTTTTACTTTTTCTACATTTTCTAATTCCATAAAAATAGTCTTGAATCTTGGATCATTGACTGTCGCTAATAAGTATGATGGGTCATTTTTACATACCAGAAATCTGTTTGATATAGATTTTCTTAGACTTCTAGTAAATCCTATTCCTGCTGCTGTATTGCTATTTTTTGTTATAAAATTGTCCAATTTTTTTTCTATGGAATATATAATTGGGTTTACCATTGAAAATGTTGGTATATCTTCTTGGCTAAATTCTTTTGTGGCTTCAAGAACTGGCTTTAATATTTCAACATATCCATTAATAAGTTTTCATTCTCTTAATGTAATAATAATATCTTTTGACAAATTTTGCAAATCTAAAACAATTGCTTCTTTTTGCTCTATAATGCACTCCAATATTAAGTATACACTATTCCAACGAGTTTCGACCATTTGTATGAGTTTATGATTTGGCAGATTTAATCGCAATTGAATTTGTTGCAAACGTTCCCAAGATTTGGTGCTGTGGTTATAATGCATTACAATTGAGCGACACTTTTTTAATAAACTTCCCATATTGTTTTCTTTTAAGGAATCTTCAATGGCCAATTGTAACGTGTGGGCTGCACAAAAGTAGTGATGTAGGGTGTCATTATCATTATAAATATTTAATCCACAACTTATATTTCTTGCATTGTCTGTGACCATATAAATAGGAATGCTTAAGTTTGAAATATCAATGTTCCATTCATTTACCATAGCTTTGATTTTAAGAAAAATATTTTCCCCAGTATGTTCTCCTGGAAAGTATGAACATTCTAATGTTTTGTAACTGAGCTCAAATTGCTTTGTCAAATAATGTGATGTAAGTGATATATATGGTTGTTGAGCTCCACTCGTTTAGATATCAAAAGTAAACGATATGGATCGCATACTATCCAAATCAGTGTTTATTTCTTCTTTGAGTTGAGATAATATTTTTGAATACAGCTTAGGAATTACAGTACTAGATAAATATTGTCTAGTCGGTAATTTAAACTTGCTCTCTAATGTTTTCATTACGTTCCTAAATCCACGGTCTTCAACGATCGATTATGGTTGATAATCTAATGCAATCATTTCACTTATATTTTTGGTTATTAATTTAGCCCTTGGACTGTTTTTTGATAAGTATGAATCAGAGTTGAATGAAGTCTGAATTGTGTTCTGTTTTTGTGTAATGACTTCGTTTTTTCTTTTCAATAGTTCATTTTTAATTTTTTTTTTTTTTTATCATAGTATGCTTGATATTCAGAATATTTCTTGGTGTGAATTTTAAGATGCCTTACTAGAGTAGTTGTTGTTGATGAAGGAATTTTTAGTACCTTTATACAAGTATTACAAATTTACTGGTCAATGTTTAACTTAGTAAAAAAGTTATAAATCAATCTTTGATTTATTGCTTGGTCTACTTCTGCTTCTTCTGTTGGCATTAAACTTTTTTCATCTTCTTCATTTATAATTTCAGTTATCTCTTGGTCTGGATCATCATTATCAACATTATTATTATAAATTTGTTGAAAGTTATCTAATTGAATAGATCTCATTAGCCGCTCAAACGCATTAATTCTCTTAGCCATTGTATATATAGAGTAAAACTGTTATAAAAATTAAAAAATTAATTAATTATTATTCTAAGCAATTAGTTTTTTTTTATCTTGTTAACTTATATAGGGTAGGTATGTGTAATGATAATAACAAATAAATAAATAGGTATAAGTAAATGTAGGTACCTATAGATTATATTTTTAATTTTTATAGTTTAAAATTTATACTTTTTATTCAATATAGTTTTAATTTCTTTTATACACTTATGTAGGTACCCATAATTTAATTATATAAAGAAATATTTTATATATATTTTTTAAATGTATATGAATGTAATATTACTAGTTATTAGTTATCACAATAATTTATTGAACTTATGAAGTTTCAAATTCAACTATTTAGAAAATTCTAAAGTAAAAGATTAATTTTTAAATTTAGTTATATTTGAAGTTTAATATTTTTATTTGGTACCTCTACTCACTCGTAGCAGTAAAGTTGTTGAACTAAATTAAATACTTAAGACTAATAAATAATAATTCATAATTATTTCTACTTACATGGATACACGGAACGTATAGTATAATCTTTATTTATATTATAATCTTCTTAATAATATGATAATCATTTATTAATAACACTTATTACTTATTTGTTATCCATTTATCATATTTTGATTTTAAATTCGATAAGGCAATCGCCAATCAGCCATAATTAATAAATATGATAAAATAATAAGCATTAAAACAAGTTACAATCAACTAAGCAATCTATTTTTAGTATTTTTATAGGTGTCAACTATCTAGGAATTTTCCGTTTTCGTACGAAGCCTGTGCGGTTAATAGACGGAATAAATGTGGTGGGGGGAGTGTTTGGTTTCATCATGCAATTATTTTTGATGGCCATATTTGATTTTAGATTTATCTGGTTAGATTTTCGAACCGAACTATTGGGTACATAGTTTGGTTCGGAAATCGAACAGTTCGTAACATCTCTAAATAAAACCATAATCATTGATTAAATATACATAGATAGCCCATAGCTATACGCAATATGGAAACACATAAATTAGTACGGATTATGTGACAATAGATAGCGTTGGTAAATACTAAATTGTACACAATACACAAACCGGTAGAATAAAAATAAACCGCGATAAGAAGAATTCCAAGAATATAAATTAAATTGAATATTGTTATTTACAAATTCCATTGATTAAATATACATGTATATTTAATCAATGCTAAATCTGAATGGTTAATCATATAATGTTATTTTATTTTCAAATATTATGGTTTTCTCATGGCACTACTATGATGATTGCTAAATAAAGTTAAGTTTAAAATGTTAATTTAAAGTAAAATAATTATTTTTTTTCAAATAATTATTTTTCAGAAGCAACTCAAGCACATTAAGGAACATTATTGATTTATTTTATATTTAATCAATGAGAACACACGCATCGTAGTTATTTTATATTTCATTAATGAGAATATAGGTACCACAGTTGATCTAGCAAAATATTTTTATTTTAAACAAAACAACTTAAAAACTTACATATCCATCTAAAATTATTGATAATAAATTTTACAAAGACTGTGGTTTTACACTTTTACAAATTAATAAACACATAGATACATTATTTTATAATCAAAAATTAAAACAAAAGTAAACACA